ATAGATAGATAGATAGATAGATAGATAGATAGATAGATAGATAGATAGACAGCTGTAATGGGGTAAAAAAAAAAAAGTAATTCACTTGAGATTTAATAAATGTTTTACAGGTTCCTCACAAGCTTTAAAGGTGTTTCTTTGGTCTTTGTTCATACCAGTGCTGTTATTAGATTAATGACAAAATGCGATTTCGCATCATTGCCAAATCTCTCACATTCTGTTTCAGTTATGTGAATTGGCTGAACTGTTCATGGGAAAATAAACAGAAGCTATAAAGGAATGCTAGGGTGGTAACAAACTCAGTCACCTCTGACTGGACATTTAAATGTGTCTTGTTTGTTAAGGGTTTAATTACAAGACCGAAAGGTTAAAAAACAGTTTGAAAGCATTCTCTGTATTCCAAGATGCAGCCAGACTCAAGCATGACAAGCATGCAGTTGGGTGGAATAGCTGGATGTGTTTTGTTCTCAGGCACTTTTTTCAGACGCTTTGCTTGACTGTCAAAAGTCACCGCCCAGTTACTGCTGCTGATCCATGTTCCTAGCTTCTTGCAAAAACCTGACATCTTAACATGAGATGATCTAACTAAAGAGCTGATGGGTGGTAAAAGTAATTCCAAATTAATCACAATCATATACCATGCACATGTATTTCTCATGTTTATGTTTCTTGAAAGTAAAAGAAGGATTTTTTCTTGAAAAAGATGAAGGGATGAGACTTAATCTTGAAAATATTTCAGATTCTAACAGTAAAAAAAAAGAAACCCGTATAATCTGCTTTTAGCATGAAAAATATTTTTTGGGGGAAACAAATCTTAAATGAATAGTCTATCAATTATCTTATGTATTACTATATGTGTAATATTTAATTGTGGATATATTTTTTATAGATTTTATCCTCTCCCTTACTGTCTAAGATTTAGGAAGCCTCAAAATAGATGTTACCATGATTTTAATTAATGTGCAAAACATGTTAACATTTTAAATGATTAATAAAAACATGGAAAAATAAAAAGATCAACCGCAAAGCAGGATTTTGGTAAGTCTTTGTTAATACTGCAAGACATTCAACTTGGAAGTTTTGAATTTTTTAAAACCTTGTGTGAAATTGAATAAAAACATCAAATAAAAAAGAAACTTTGATTATTATTTACAGCAAACTTTAGAAATTAGGATCTACTAAACAGTTTAAAAGTACAGGTCATACACAGCTGCTGTTAAAGTAGCTGTCCAACTTGTCCAAACTCTTGTCCTTGTAGGACAGACAGATGTGTTCGGCCTTAAGCTTGTTCAGCTCCTCTCCAACTGGGGGCAGCAGTGTCATGATGAAATGAACTCCCCTCACTGCAGAGAAACAGTACGCAAAGCAGAGTGTAAATAAAACCGAGAGTTTCACTTCCCTCTTGGACCTCAGTAACTATGGCAACAGACCTGCATCACAGAAGACTGACTGCATCAGTTTGGTTTCAGTATTGAAAATAAGCAAGTAGGTTTTCTTTTTCTTGATCACCAAACCTGTTTTGACTTAAAAATGATTAATCAATTTGTCAGAAAAAAATCAAAACCATGAAGTGATGATAGGATCCACTTTTTTCTGTTTCTTGCATCAAGAACTGCTGTGTCGAGCTAATTAAACATGTAGTGCTCTCATAAAGCGCCTCATTTAGTTAATGGAGTTAATAACTCCATTTTACAGTTCCCTTCAACTCCGTCTCCAGCAAACAGATCCATTTAACTTTGTTCTGTTGGAATTGAGACTTTCCATTTCTAGATATTCAAATCCTGCTCATTTCAAATAGTTTAATGATAATCTCAGAATCTTTCTTTTTGCATTTTCACTTCCTTAAGCCTGACATAAACCATGGATTTGATCGGCTGGTCTCTCTTTCTACCCAAAGACAATTCGGCTGAATTGGAATTTCCATTGAGAGACCTGCAGAGGACTTAAGGCATACAAAACACGCTCTGTCTGGAACAAAGCCATCTCTCTTATCTCAATCTGGTCCCCCGAGAGTGGCCTTGCAGCTGCTACTCTGCAACTTTGCCCTGGATGAGACTGCAGATGGACGCTTTGCCCACCACAGCACAGAGAAATGATCTTTGAAGGTTTCTGTAGTGCATCAATAACTAGATTAGTAAAAAACACAAAAAAAAAATCCAATGTTTTCCGCAACATTTCTTTATTTTGATTACTAAAAAATAAATTTAAAAAAAAAAAAATTAAATACTACTTATTCGACTCAGCATTGCAAAGCAAAGTAGTTTATGGTCATGTTCCTGTTTGAATGACTCAGAGCATTTCTCTATAGAAGTAAAAGATGTATTGATCACCCATAAATGCATGATCTGAATGATGCTGTTCCTTGTTTGAGTGAGTCCGAGCATTTCCCTAAAGATGCACTTTGCATGAGCAGCAGCATGCTCCAGTGCTCTGGGAGAGTTTA